CTTGGAGCTGTTGTGTTCTTGTTGCGCAGGTGCGCTTGATGATGATGGCCTGGGCCAACAGTGTGACGATCTCATCCGTTGACAGCGGAGAATCGTCTGTAGCTTCACCGGTTGTACCGGCCAATCCCGGAGCAGGGGGATCCGTCGATGGGCCGGAGGCTTGACTGGGTACTGCAGCGGCAGCCGACTGGGCAGCAGCCAACTGTTGGTTGAGCGGGAGCGGCACCAACACTGGAATTGGCCGTGGCTGGACCGGTGATAACGGAGGAAAGTTCTGCGCGTTGTTTTCCGGGACCTTCTTGCGACCGGGCTGGTTGTTGGACGAGGCCTTCTTCCGGATCTCGGCGTATTCGGCCCGCTTCGGACAGGCCTTACTCGTGGCCTTGTGGGCAGCACCGCAGTTGGCGCATGTGGGAGCGGCTTCCTCGATGCTGTCGCAGTCGTCGATCTTGTGGTTTTTGCCGCATTTGATGCAGCGGCTGGCCATGCGGCAGTTCCTGGTGCCGTGCCCGAACAATAGGCAGTTCGAGCACTGAGTGACGCCACGGTGGGTTGGCTTATACCGCTCCCACTTCACTACGATGTGGAACAGTGTGCGTGTCGTATGGAGATCCTTCACGGTTGTGGAGTTCTTCTGCAGATGGACCAAGTAGAGCTGGTCACGATACTTGATGGCCTTGCTGCGGGTCATCTTGTGGATTTCGACCGGCTTGAGGCCGTTCGCCTTAATCTCGTCCATTAAGGTGGTGGTGTCCATGTCGTGGAGCCCGCGCAGCACCACTTTCAGCGGCTTGGTGGCCTCGACGTCGTGGGAGAAGTACTCCAGCTTCATCCTGTCCAAGAGGGCCTGGACTGCGTTGTAGTGATTTTCGGCCGAGACCATCAGTTTGTAGCCTTCCGTGCACCGTTGAATGGTGCAGCGAAGGCCCTGCTTAATGTAGAAATCCAGCTGCTCCCATAGCCCGGGAGGGAAGCCCTTCACATAGAAGGGTGGCAACTTAACTTTTTTCGGCACCGTCTCAGGGTCCGACTGCGGCTGCGCTCCGTTCTGCAGGGCGGAGAACGGATTGTTGCTCAGCAGCTTTTTTGCTGCTGATACGGTGGCGCTGCTGTCTTCAGGTCTGGGTCGTTTAGTTCCGGGAGGCCCCGGCTGCGGGTCCGCAACGCCTGTCGGGATGGGCAATGGAGTTTTCTTCTGCTTCTTCTGGGCTGGCTCGGTGGTCGCGCCGTCTCCTGGGAGAGTCTGTTTTCCCGGTAAACCGGCACTCGCGTTACCGCGCGATTTCTTACCCATGGCTGGGTCAGCGAGAGCGTCACTACACAACGCGGAGCTAATTCGACTTGCGAACGAACGAACGAAACTAGAGAGAATTCAAATCGACTGAACTGCTCAACAGTCTGGCAGCGAATGAGCCTGATGACTGACTGTAAAACATATCTGGTACCTCTATGTATGCAATTATATTAACAACCAAAGTCCATCCTATTTTACATATTCTGCACAAAAGAAACTTTTTGCTCCGCCCCATTCATAAAAAAACGTCGGGAAATCCAATCAGGTATGGTTGCAAATCGGTCTGCCTGAACCTGAAGAGATATAAAACATCGCTGCTTTCGTGCTTTTGCTCATTGTCACAGCGGACGGCGTGCCACTTGGTCCTGCAGCAAGCACGACCAAGTCAGTGGCTAAAGGGGGATCACGGCGTGAAATGAGGAATGCGACACAATGAGGAAAAGCAATGTTTGTAAACCTCCTCCCCCTTCACAACAACCTCCCCCCTTCAACAACCCCCTCCCCCTCAACAACCTCTCCCCCCACCCTCAACAAAACCCGAAAAAGACATGGACTTTGACGATCACTTTTTTCCGGGAAATAAATTTTAAGCAAACCATAATTATTAGCAAAAACAGAAGTTTTTCCCTTAATTTCTTCCCGCACCAAAACTTTCAAATTTGAGAGAAAAAATACTTTGAAAGACATATTCGATGATATTATCACAGACAAACAGACATAACACACTGAATATTTATCAATGTAAAACATCGTCGCTAAAACATTACCGCCATCTGTTGAGAACACTGTGGTGGGTAGTACGCTGAACAGATGGCGGTAGTGTGTAAACGTCAAACGCAAGAGAATTGACTATGCGCGCCACAGGTGGCGGTACTACCAACTACGATACTTTTAAATTGTCCGTTAAATGCTTGTTCGATGAACAATTTGCGAGAGTTATGTCTGTTTGTCTGTGATATTATGTTGATGAATTACACACCACTGGCTGTAAAAGTAGTAGTAGTAAAATTTCGTTTATTTCTGTTGATTATGGTGTATACATTGATTTTACATTTCAATTGATTAGCCTATCTGGCTCTTCATCTTTGTTCATTGGATATTCTAATTTAGTATTTGCATATTTCATCTAGTTAACAGAATACCCCTTGGGGGGTGTGTTTTGTTTTATTTGAAAAAATTGAAAACCTACCTAACTACGAGTCTAACTTAACTAACGTGCCAGATCACGTATGATATGAAGATCTGATCTCTGAACCTTTCCAAGGAGACCGTTCGTCGCTCTTCGAGAGGCTGAAGGCCAGCCAGCCAGTGAACCTCAGAAATTTGGGTCCTGGACTGTTTAGGATCATCCTAAGGATCTACACATGCTTAATATATGTACATATAAAAACCATCAACATCAACATCAATTTTGTGTGGTTCTACGTCATACTGCGGTCGTGTCTAGGACACAACCCTTTAATTTGTTTTTTTTTAATATCCTTTTATGAATTACACTTTTTATGAACACCCTGGGCCTTTGAAAATGGTCCAAGATTCTTGATTTCGGAAAATCAACCGCAAAATTAGACAATCGTAAGACGGACATTGGGCCAAAATTTAAAAAAAAAATGCATTGATGCAAATATCTTGAAGGTATAGAAAATGATGCCTCGAATATGTTTCTGCAACTCATGGAGTAGGTTGAGATAACATTAACCAGTGATTTTATTTAAATAGTGCTGTAACGTTAAGTTTCATAAATAGCAGCTAAAACACGTTTTAAAAATGTCCCCAGGCAAAAAAGTGTGAACACACTTTTATGTGAATAGATGAGGGTTACACGTGATCTTTAGCCATACATATGAAGAACGTTGTGATCATAACCAAGAGTACTCCTAATAGCTACGTTACATTTTCATATTTTAAAATATTTTAAACAAAATTAATTTTTGACCCCATAAGGTTTAACATTGGCCTATCTTTTATCTAATTTTAGTAAAATGAGACATCAATTTCAAACAACCATTTTCAATACAGTCGTAAATAAATCATTGATGAATATATTCACATGCATAAAATTGTTTTTCTTGCTAAAATGTGACAGTTGTAAGGTAGGGAACGAAATTTTATGAACAAAATTCCATTATGACTGTGTGGCAGATTTAAGGTCCAATTTGAATGTTTATTCCTAATAAGTTCTAAGAAGAATTTCAAGATGGTTCTGGTATGTGATTCAAACGAAATTACGAGAAAAACTCAAAGGGTATTGATTTCGAAGGATAGTTTCAAAATAATTCTTGGTCAAACTCCACACATAATCTGAGGATAGTTCTGAGTGTTTTCATAAGGGTAAGATCTATGCTTATTCCAAGAAGAAAACAAATGAAATCGAATTTTCCGGGGATAATTGCGAAGGAATTCTAGTAAGAGACTGAATGATAGTTTCGAGAAGCATTTTTAGAGAATTCTGAGAAGAATTCCAAGTTGTTTATAAAATTATTCGTAACAGAGCTCCTAGATAAATTTGAACTGAATTTCAATCTTTTTCGAAGGTGGAATTCTAAGGAATGATCATGTGAATTTTAAAAAGAATAATGGAAGAAAACTTATTAAGAGAATTATTGGGATCATCATAAAAAATTGAAAATAATTTAAAGATGAATTAAGATTTTCTTCACTGATGAGTGATTATTCACTGCTAAGTTAATGAATAATGATTAAATTATGTGAGGCATATGATTAAGATTAAGAATTATTAATTCATCTCTCAAATATAATCATGATTAACGATTTTAGTTAATCATTAATTTTAATCGTTAGAAATTCATCATGATTAATTTAATGTTGGGGTTCTGCAATAGCCCTCCTGACTGTTTTTATGAAATGCTTCTTAAAATTATCTGAAACTTCTAGTCAAATTCCTTTAGAATTGTCGTCAGAATTCCACAACAGAGTTAATTGTGGAAGACTACAATTCTCCTCATAACTCTTTTGGCTTTCTCCTCAACGTTCGCCAAACATTTATTCGATGTGACTGATTCCTACAAGTTGATCTTCCTTCAAGAATTACGCTTTTTTTTATCTGATATCTTGAAAATACCATCATATTTTATTTTATTTTAGTTTGAAAGCGTCGAAAGTTCACAAGAATATTAAATATAGCCCTAGCCTCAAATTTTCTCAAGTCAACTTCAAAACGTTCCCTCTATCAATCTATTACTTTGAAACATTCGGTCTGATAACCCACTCAGTCCAGTAGAGTGATTTCGAATTATATACATATTACTGAGACTTGTAAAAATTATCTAAATTATGAAACAAAATTTGACAATATGTTGCGATTGGAGCCTAACAAGTTTTCCGAAATTCTGATACATTTAATTTTTATCATTTAAAGCCAAGGAAGGTTTTCACTTTAAAATTAAATCCCGTAACTGTTATTTTCAGTGACATCTATTGCCATGCCATATTTTGCTATTTATTTGAAACCGGGAAAAATATGTTGGCCACCCAGGAAAAACCAGTGACCACCCTGCTTACAGCTAACGGCAGGCTCTCTTTATCCTGCCAGGATTCATCTATTGAACAAGTTATTCCCAACTCTTTGAGCATTCATAACCGGGCGAGCAAAACGTAAAATTGTCAAGTGTGGTGTACCAATTGAAACGACAATTTGCACTTTAACTCATGCCCTTCTCTCTTTCTCTCTCTCCCCCTTTTTCAGGTGGCTCTACACTTTCTGCAAGCGTCGACATTGCGCTGCCTGCTGGAGCCCTGGTGCCGCGAGCTGGGCTTCATCATCTGTTACGGTGCAATCGTGCTCAAACTTTACCGCCACCTGGTGGAATTCCGCACCAGAAAAGCTCATCGATGGGTTGTGAGAGATTTAGATCTACTGCGCTATCTGTGCGCGATGTGCGTTGCGGTGCTGTGCTATCTGGCCGCCTTCACCGCCACCAGCATGGACTTTCTGCGGTACAGCGAGTTGGTGTGGAAGGTGGAAAACACCGACGACCAAGTCACGTCCAACATGTGCCGACCGCTTAAGTGGGACTACGTGACCGAGGCCGGAGAGCTGCTCATACTCGGTTTCGGTCTGCAGCTGGCCATCGTCAGCCGCAATGCCAATACACAATTTAGGGTAAGTCACAATTTATTTCCAACATGTAGGTGTTTGTCGTTCCAGGTAATCGTTAAGACGAGGTGTGAAAATTCAATTCGAACTGCAATCAAAATTATAATTTCTTTCCTTCAGGAACGTCAGTTTCTCGTCGCATCAATCCTAATCGAATTCCTCGCATCGGCCACATTCTACATACTGCGCTTTTGGTATTTGGGAGAGTTCAATCCATCGACACTATTCCTAGCGCTGTTCATTCGATCTCAGCTGACCAACACAGTCACTCTCGGACTGATATTTCTGCCCAAACTCTGGTACCAGCATAAGCAGGTAAATTGGAAAGCGTAACAGAAAACCACAGAAGCATTGCCCACTTCCATCCCGTCCGTTCCACCCCGGAATCCATCCTATAATCTCCAATCATCCTCCATGCAATATGCATCAAACCAAAAAACAGAACCAATCAAATGCGAATAAATGCCCTACACACCAGCCACACTTCCACACATACCGACACCCACTCAACCACAATCATAATGCACATCTCTATACATGATCAATAAATTCAATCAAAGCCAAGGGAACAACCAGAACCTGCTTACATTTGCCTGTCTGCCTTGCTACCCGTCTTCACTCTCTGCCATCTTGCAAAAAAAAACACATGCTAGAAGCTCAGTGATTTCCCAATCGTACCACCACCCTTCCGTTCTTCAACACGTGTCCGTTGTCGTTTTGATGTTTCCCACTGTGTCATGCGATGTGATTCTTGTTTGCCTTTCATCGTCCTGTGTCGTTTACCTACAGCTCAAATAAATTTCCCGTTCCTGCACGCAAATCCTAATCCGATTTAGAGCAGCACCTCCCTTCGCACCCATATGTATGTATATGTTGCGCACGCATGTCTTCTTTTTCTCTTGTTTTCTTCATTTTTGTCAGAAGGGGTTGATTGTTTAATGTTACGACTTTCACGTTCGCATCTTGTTGTACCACGCGTGCTTTCATGATCACGCCGGTATCATGGAGGCGCATGGTCAACCGTACAAGTATGTTGTTAGTTTTGCATCATTCAGCGCTCATTTCGCTTCCGTGCCCTGCTACCACACGTTCACTGTCTGTCATCAACATCATCTATCATTTGCTTTTCCGCGTCGCTTAAAGTTACAGGCTAACGATGGCTTTCAGAGGTGCTAGTGGCTACATTTGTTTTAATATTTAGACGCTTGGTGTCTTCGGTGAACATTCATAGCGAATTTGTGTTTGATTCAGTTCAAACCTGGATCGGGTATCAAGATTGGGTCTGCTCGTTAGCTGTCAAACATCAGTGTGTGCGTTTGCTTTTGTAACCTGACTCAGGTTGAGATTCGCACTGACAATAAGCTCGGGTTCGCACGGGTTGAAGCTGGTTCCAACCTGGATAATAAACAAATTCGCTATAAGTCTCTTTTGACGTAGGACTACGCCTTTCGAGAAGGGTACCAATTCAGAGAAATGCAACGAAAATTGGTCAGACTTTAAATGCTAATAACTTGGCCAATAATCAATGGATTTTGATAATTTGTGTGTCGATAAATTCACCAGTGTTATAACATTTGTGTGGTATGTCACACATTATAATTGTTAAATATTTAAATAGCTGACAATGAACAAATATGGAAATAATCAAATTTCCCATACATATTCTTCGACCGCAAAGTGCACACTCCTAACACAGCCATCAGAAATTAGGTCACTAACAACACAAGCTGAAACCGCATAATCATTCATCGTTGCACGTTGGAGGGATCGACCTCGAACTTATTCGCTGCAGTGTGGACATCGTAGCATTTTTTCTATTCATTCACCTACATCAGCTAAATACAGAAGGAAGGAGGTGCATAGAATGATAATCCAAATTCTTAAGTAAGTGAAGCGTAGAAAGTTTTACTGCTGTCATCGTTTGGCTGCCGTTGGACACTGAAAACAAAACTAACTCAGAGAGTGAATAACTTTTACTCATTTGTGAATCACTTTTACTCATTCGTATGAAAATTTTTCTTAACGCATTAGTAACCTACGATTTAAAAACAAATCTCCATGCGAATCAGTAAAAGAGACTCATTCTCTGAGTAATATTCGTTTTCAATGTAGAAATCTCAGCTAGAAATTGGATATTAGATAGTCAAGCTCAGTGTGCTATTTGCATCAAATTCCATGCTTTAACTTGACAGCACGGCCAGAAAGCAGGTTTCTGTATTCAGTGAAGCTAGTCGGAAGGACAATACCTATCGCATGATTGGCCTCTTAGTTCAGAATTCAATCACCATGCAGCGCTAGTATCATTTGATTCAAAAGGCTTGCTTACCCGAGTAGCACTTTTCCGTTAATAAAAGTTGCAGCAACTTGTTTATGACTGAAATAAGTCGTAAAGAAGTTTCTACAACCGATATGTGACAAGCGTGCTACTAGGGTAAGCAGTCTACATTCACTGAAAACGAATTGTGTGTCTCTTTTATGTAGGTTACTCATGCGCTGAGTGACCAACGCTTTTAGAAATGCATCCTTACGAATGAGCAAAAGTTACTCACTCTCTGAGTTGGTTTAGTTTTCTGTGTTTCGACTAGATAGGAGATTGCTATTTCTAGTAATATTAATCGGATGGATAAGACCTATTGTATACTGGACACAGGGTGACCAGTGAACCGGGAAATCGTCCTCTATTTAGAAAAAAAAATCTTCTCAACTACTAGATTTTCCGGATACAATCACTAAGAAGAACTTATTCGCCAATTTTGATGAATATTCCAAAGGAATTTAGAGGAAATTTTAGAATTCTAGAGATAATAAGTTGTTTAAAATACAAATTCCAATGATGTTTTGACAGAATTTTGATAGAGATTTGACTACAACGCCAAGTCAATTGTTTAAGTTCAAAGTAGAATTATTAGGAGGTTCTGTGTGAAATTACATGACGATTGTTAAGAGGGTACAGGTAAATTTTAATTAATATTCCAATTAAATTACGAGAAGAATGTAAAGAGAGTTCTTATGAAAACTTCTAAGAAATTTCGAGATTATTGTATTCTGAGAGAATTAGAAAGATAATTTCAAGTGAATTCTAATGAATGTTCCAAGGGACATCCATGAAAAATATCAAGGGTTTCGAATTTTCAATTACATTTCTAAACCATTTATATATTATTGAATGGAACAGCAAAATAATCTCGAAAATAGTTCTACGTCAACTATGCGGTCGTGCTTTGGACACAAACCTCATTTTTTTTGGTGGTTGTAAACATTAGGGTGGTTCTCAAGCTAAATCAATTAATATTAAAAAACAAACTATCTTATTTTTGAAAATAAAGCCATGTGTTCTTCAGCAAATGTGTAGCTGTGTTTTAAGTTCAAGTATAGTTTTTTTTTAACTAGTTCGTTGTTTTACTAGGCTCAGTCGTGTGTGACACTTTGCGGAGCCAAAAATCCGTATTTTTTTAATTAACATTTTAAACAGCTGTAGTTCTAGGCTAGTATTGGGTACCAATTACTCGAGGTGAACTCGAGGTTAATGGGTAACGATTTCGATTGGAAGGATCTAGGTAGGAAACAGGTTTCTGAAGCCTCCTTCAGATACTACTCTCGGACGGTTGACCAAATGCTGGCTTGGCAGGGGCAAGTAGCACAGGAACAGTTGAATAATATAAGACACAATAGCTGGAAAATGTGTGGAAAGGAGGGGATAGTCACATCAAACTCTAACATCATACAAACAAAAGGAATTCGTAGATCGCCTGCATGTAGGGAAGATCACGGGTTCCTAATACATCTTTTACTTCACGGAAGGATTGTCTACCTCGGGCCACTAGGGTATCCAATAATCGTGCTCTGGAGGCGTCATTACCCGGGCAATGCCAAACTGCGTGATCGATGTCATCATAACCGGTTCTGCACCTACATATATTGCTGTCAACGAGGCTTATGCTGTGGAGATGTGCGTCTAGCGAGTAGTGGTTGGACATAAGTCTTGACATCACGCGAATGAATCCCCGACTTACATCCAGACCTTTGAACTACGCTCTCGAAGAAACATTTGGAGTAATGGAATGTTTAATGGAATTTTTGCGGTTTTATTCTGGAGTCAGCGCTATACTTGTGGACGCCATCGTGACCGTTAGCACCATCCAAGTGCAATTGTTTGTTTAGTTCAGAGTTTGTTTATCGTGTCGACAGCTACGAAGGAAATCGAAAGCAGAAATGGAGAAAAAACAATGCGGCACCTGCGAATTGGATATCAATGATCTGGAGCCAGTACGTTGTGGTTTCTGTGAAGCTTTCTTCCACATTAGCCAGCAATGTTGTGGTATCAATTTGCGCGCTTGTAAAGACATCTTTGTGCAAGAAAAGGTGTTATTCATCTGTCTGCCATGCAGGAGCATACTGAGCGGAAGAAGTATCCGCGCCTATGTAGCTGATCTGGACTCTTCCAAATCGACAAACACCAACAGCCTGGCTTCACAATTGCAGCAATTATCCGGCATGGTAGAGGTGTTGAGCAAGAAAGTTGACAACATTTCATCTGCACCGGCACAAAACAATTGTCCTGCTGCCTCGCCTATGTTCACTGTATCAAATGAGAACAGGACACCAGTTTGGCCGAGAGTAAGTGCAAAGCGTCGTCGCGATGATTATGATCAAACCATTCGACCAACTGCGAACAAAGGCACAAAGGCGATGAATTTTGAGGACCTTTCCGTTCCTTTCATCACACCTGCCGCTCCGACACCAGTATTCTGGCTTTATCTGTCTGGATTTCAACCTAAGATCACCGATGAAGATGTTAAACAAATTGTTTCCCGTTGTTTGGATTCAAACGAATCAATGAATGTCATTCGACTCGTGCCGAAAGGGAAAGATGTTTCGAACATGACCTTCGTGTCATTTAAAATTGGTCTCGACCCAACTCTAAAAGCGCAAGCCCTCAATGCAGAAAATTGGCCCAACGGTTTGATGTTTAGGGAGTTTATGGATATTCCAAAAAACCTGACACGTCGAATGTACACCACATCCAGGGAGTTCCCTTTAGTACCCCCCCAGGACAGTCCAGCAACGACGATGCAAATGTAATGCGGTGTTATGTGGACGGTGGGAGCCCGCAGGATCCTGCCAGAGGCGAGTATTTTGACAAGTTTGAACTTCCTACACTAATTGATTGTACGTTGCAGCGCAATGACCGTCGCGATAATGATGATATCTGGATATATTATCAAAATGTACGTGGCCTGAGAACGAAAATAGATGACCTACTTCTAGCGGCAACCGATTGCAACTTCGATGTGATCATCATGACCGAGACTGGA